TACGGCGAACTTTGGACCCGATTAGGAATATGTTCAACCGCTCGGTTAAGTAATTGTCACTCTGATCTGCGCACGTAGGTCGCTCCACACCAGCACTGGAATTAGTTGGTCAGATCAGAGTTGCATAGTCTACAATGCATGAATCGCAAGGCTGTTAGGGTTTCCAGAAGCGATTACCATGAGCCAATGGAAACCTCGTTGTGTCAAAAAAAAAGTTTATTAAACCTATCCTTACTCTGGAGATATGGTACTCCTCCCGCTTTATGTTTGTCTGTTTTAATGTATTTTCTTTTTGTGTGGTACCATGTTAAAGCCTCATGTAAGCATCACATTTTCTACAGTATGCGCACTATGTTGAGATGCAATGAAATCTTCCTGCACATGCGATGTGCAGGATGATAATGTGGTATTTTGCTTCGAGATTATTGTGATTAGTATTGCACTCAAACCTAGAGTTTACAAATGCATTACTATGTCTTTTTTTCAGGCTGTTTGAAGTTGAAGCCGTATAGATGAAGCTGGATGTCATGTATTGATGAAATCACTTGCTCGGACACAATAGAACTCCTAACTGAGGGGGTCGGGTTCCGTTGCTAATGACTAATAGTATTAGAAGGGCAAAGCATAGAGTTATTTTTTTTCTGCAGGTCACTAAGTGTTCTGGTATGCTGTGCAGAAAGTTTAGACTAATAATGTTCGCAAAATCGGTATTTGTACTGTCTTTTTATTTATATCTCTTTCGATTGAAAATACAAAGATAGGATTTTCAGGAAAGGGGAAGCGGCCAATCAAAGAGCTGCCATACAACACAAAGAGAATGGGTGAATGGGTGACACACGTCGTCTGTGGTGATACTTGGGTGACGTTCCCACTGGGCCAGCACCACCCGAATTGTGCAACTTGTACAACGGTATTCGGTGTGTGTCCTGTATCCAAAAGTGTTACGATTACTCGATTGTTCGGTTATAAGTGTGAACGAGAGACACACAAGTCTCTCCCGCTTCACTTCGTCAGTTCAAAGGTATGGTCGCCTCCGAAATTCCAGAATCCGGTTCATGATCACCACGATCACTGAGTCAAAGTGACTTGAAGAAATAAATAGATTGTCTATTTGAAATACCGTTGCGAATGAATGTCACTCATCACCCCGGAGGACGTGTGTTCGAATCCCACTTCTAACCACAGTTGTCTGACCTTCCCCTGTTATGTGTGCGTTGTATGACATCCCTGTGACTGGTCGATCGCCCCTTACCGAAATCTGTATCATCATATATTAAATAGAACGAAATAACAATGAAAAAGTGAAGGACAAAAAGAAGTAACCTTTAACTCACGATTGACTGGAAGTGATTGTCGAGATTCAACTTGATGTTTGATCCAAAACCCTGACAATTGATTCACCCACCCACCCTCACAATTTCAGTTAGATATACTACAGTTTATGTGTTCTTCTGAAAGTTTTATTTTTTGCTACATTGCTCGCATCACTGCACATCTGGACTAGAACAAGGCAAAACTATCTTTTCACTGAAATTCCTTTGTCATCTGCGCAAATGAATCCTCACTGTTTCAGTAAATCGAAGAATCATTAGTGCAAATCATCAACCCTCGATTTCTTTGTCTAACGAGATTATCGTGTAGAAGAAACCCAATATAAATTACTTTTGCATAAACGTATCTAACCTTCAAATAGACAGAAAATTTACCAGAGGTAACCATGAACAGGACAAAATGGTTAGTGAGTCTCCCCGGCGCGGAGGAAATTTTATTCGATGGTCGAAAAGAGCATTTAACAGCTGACTCGTTGGTGAGACTCTTCAGTGGTGCATTGATGAGTGATTGATGATCCCCAACACGAACGAAACTGCTGTCCACTACTCTCGGTCGGCCGTAAAACCCAATTCCACCGGAAATGAGGTGCATCAAGATATGTGGGGAAATGAACGGATTGTGAACTGGGATCAGACAGACTCCGGTGTCTGGGAAGTCGCATGAATCTGAGAGATTTCCTTTACGCCTTAAATTGTGCATAGAAATCCCGCATCAACCAAAAAAATAAGGTCCTATCTTCAAAATAATGTTTCATTTCTTAATAAACTCTCTCAAAATTGATTCTTCATGGATATTTTTTTACCCTGTCGTTCTAGTATCACGTTGACCTGTCCACTCACAATGGTAACGTATGATCGTTTGGAGCTGTGCGGTTCAGTAGCATCATTCGTGCACAATGACAAGAACACTGCTAAGGGAACCGAAGTAGACTGAAGGACAATCAAACAATTTTCATCTATAGATGGACGCTCAGTCTGAATAACGATTTCATCCCAAGCCCCTTCTGACCCGTTTGAGCTATTACAGATCGGTTAGATGACAAGCAGTAGAGTATATGAGCTTGGAAACTAGGATACGGTATCTGACTGCCTCCGCCACGGCTAGGAAACCGAAATATTAAGTTGCGCTCGTTTGTAGTGTGTTGTGTTCATTGCACTGTAATGTGCTCACGAAGAAGTGACCTCTTTGCTTCTCAGTTTTACCCAGTCGCTCTCATAAATTACCCATCCTCCCTCCGGGGACTATTCGAATAAGATTTTCAGCTCCTCTGCCTCTATCCGTTGTCGTCTATCTAGCTCACAAGATTGAACTATAGACACCCTCTATTTTGTGCAACGAATACATCATCATCTATCTACATTACTTCCCATCACCCCTTTGTCGAAACCGGCAATCCCTCAGTTGCGACCTATGATTATTTAGTCTCGACGCAAAAAGCTTTAGTAATGTCACTGCAGACGAGTTAAATC